TGTAGAAGAATACATATATCTGGGTCAGAATATCAAGGTAAACAAAGAAAACCAAACTACCGAAATAAGCAGACGAGTAAGAATGGAATGGGCTGCATTCGTGTTCGCTGAGTGTTCGATTCTTGTATTTTTCCCGTTCTCACTTACGGAGCTCAAACCTGAACATTCACAAAAAAGAACATGGACAAGATTCGAAAAACTAAGCGAGCCATGGAACGACAGATGCTTGGTATATCAGTAATAGATCGGCAAACGAACGAAGCAATCCGGAACAAAACAAAAATAAAGGACGCCGCGAAACAAGCAGCTAAATTAAAATGGAAATGGGCTGGACACAACGAACGTCTCGAAGATGGTAGATGGAACAAAGAAGTCGGAAACTGGCGACGGTACGATGCGAAGAGACCAAGAGGAAGACCTCAAATGCGCTGGACCGACGATATCAATAGAGTCGCAGGACCAATGTGGAAACGCCTAGCACACAACAGGGATGAATGGCGAGAAATGGGAGAGGCCTTTATTCGACAATTCGGATAGAAAAAGGGCTATATAAAAAAAAACGTAAGAAAATGAAAGATAATCGACGTTTCTTCATTGAACGGAATGACATTCGTGTTGTACGTTTTAAATAGTATTTAGACTAATAATAATATAGGCCATATTAAATCTATAGAATTCAAGTTAATTGTATATGTTGATGAAACCTATGTATTTGGAGTTTGTGTCAATTTGAAACAATTAATCGAGCATTTGTTGTAATTATGTTATTTGTTTGTCTTTAATATGAAATGACTTCTTTAAAAATTTTCTTTGTAAAATACATTTTGAATTAAATTTTAAGAATTACGAGCACTGGCGTTCTTTACACTCTGTATACTGAAGTTTAAATGCGATGAATTTAGTACCGTTGTACTCAGAAAAATATGGACGTTTAATTTTTTTGATAAAAATCTGCCCTTCCCATTAAAAACAATATCGATAATGTCACATTTGCTGAAATAATGGGGATAAAAGTAATTTTTTTTCGAAAAGGTTAAAAACACAAATAAAAATCGACCTGTTAGAGCTTTAACTCTAAAAATAATTAAGTCATGAGATATCAAACCGTTTCCACACTTTATGAACACACTGTATAAACGTATTGATTAAACATTAAACTTAGTTTCTGCATTTACAAATTAAATTCTTTCAAATACTCAATACTTTTTTTCTGATTTATCTTTTCTCTATTGATTGGCCTTGATCAATGACGTAAGCTACAATTGAAACAGGTATATAATTCATTCCCTGTAGATACTACCGTGACACGCACTACAGCGGCACCTAAAAGGTTAAAGGTTTTTTCTCTGTCTAATAATCAGGAAGTGGTGAAGAAAATATGCATTATATATTATTTACTGCTCTAAATCCCAATAGATAATATAGTTTAATTGTCATTATGCTAGAATTTTATTCCAAATGCTTAAATTATTGATAATACAAAGTGGTGGCATGGGGTACAAGAAGAAAAATTAGAGGCTGCACAAATACTAATTTAAAAGATGCTCTTTTATAATATATTAAAATTACTTACATTTCATTTTCTATTATCATTCGATCCAAGTGAAGGAAACTTTTGAAAAAGGCGGCATGTCATTTAAATTGTCTATTTAGTTTTTGATTCAAAACAAACGATTAATACGTAATATGTAAAGACTTCAAAAACGGTCATAAAGTCGCAGATAGTCTTAAAATTCAGCAATTCTCTCGGAAAACAAGTATCAAAGAAGTCCGCGAAATCGTTTTGTTCAATCGTATATTACAGGTCTCTGACATGGCTAGAAGAGTTGAGAATATTAGAAGGGAGTATATGCTCGATTATGCAATAATAGTTTTCAATAAGAAAAATCTGTTACAGTAATTTCTTCGATAAGTGAGATATTACAATCAAAGACTTCGGAACGGCATTGATATATTTTTTTAATATTGACATCAATTAATAATAAAAACAAAATGCCGCACAAAAAATAACCGGCTTTTGCACCGATAAACATTTTTTAGATTTCTTTGATCATTTTAAACCAAAAATTCTTGTCATTTTGCTCTAAAGTTGATAGTTTTCAAGTTATAAGCAATCTACAAATACATGTGATAAAGACGGGGGCTGCTCACGACATTGCAAAGGCACTAGCACGAAGATCCTCTTTCGGAGCACAAAGAATGATCCTCTTTCGGGAGCCCAATCCAAAGTTGGTCTCTCGACAGGAGATTATTAAAGATAGAAAATATGACGTGGCCGCATAAGTATGTAAGTTTTGAAATAGAGAGCAAAAGGCAAAAACTGAAAGATGGGAATATAAATCTAAAGAGATGTTTAAATGAGGAGGTTTTTATAGATGCTTTTTACTTGATTGGTTCGGGATGCGGGAATGTGAGTGAGTTGGCTTATGTTAGATCAAAGAAAAAAGAAGAAAGAGATAATAAATAAATTAAAGCGAATACAAAATAAATACAGGAATGAGATGAAAAGATCTAAGAGAGAAAGGTCAGGGCTTTCTATACCGAATTAAAGTAAAAAGAGACACCCCACCCCCTGCCTGATGAGAAGAAATTCCTTTTAATACGGGAATTCTTTTCTCAGATGGAGGATACGCGTAAAAGGGTTACTGATTTTATAGAGGCGCAACCTCCTTCTTCTTCTTAGGGTGCCTGTCCGTTCCGAACGTTGGCGATCATTCTGGCTATGATGATTTTGTTGGTTGCTATACAAAATAGCTGTGTTGAGGTCGTTCTATACCATGCTCTCAGGTTAGCAAGCCAGGATATTCTTCTTCGTCCTGTGGCTCTTTTTCCTTCAATTTTACCCTGCAAAATGCATTGGAGTAGCTCGTATCTGCCTTGATTTCTCATTATATGTCCCAAGTACTCCAGCTTACGGATCTTCACAATGTTGGCCAAATCCGCGGTGGTGTTCATCCTCCTAAGTACTTATTCATTGGTGACTTTGTCTGTCCATGGTGTCTTCAGGATTCTTCTGTATAACCATAATTCAAACACCTAAAGTTTTTATAGAGTTTCCACCTTCAATGTCCACGTTTATACTCCATACAGAAGCACTGAGTACACGTAACATTTAAGGAGCCTAATTTTTGTTTTCAGGGTGAGGTCATGGCTTTTGAACACAGAGCTCATAGCCAAGAATGCAACCTCCTACTGAGTTATAACTTGGTGAGGCTATTGGAATGAAGATCCGTAAGGCGCCGCATTAAGATATCCGCAGGTTTTTCTGAGATTGCTAAACAAACTGCTTGAACAACAGCTTTCCATCACTGTTAAAAGACGCTAAGACTGTCCTTATCCAAAAGTTGAAGTAGAGGTGACGAGCCACTTCAGCCAAGTTTCCGTCTTAGTTTGGTAGCTTAATTGTACAAGCAGCTTGTAAAAGGCCGCCTTGAGCGAGAGCTGAAGGAAAAGCATGCGCTGAGCGACCGCCAATATGGTTTTGGGGCCAAAAAGGTCCACTATATATGCGGTCAAAGAAGTAACCTCGTAATCACGCAGGATACAAAGAGATGGGTGGCTCTTATCCTGCTTGACGTTAAGAATGCCTTTAATACGGCATTATCGAAAAAATCATGTCCAGGCTAAGAGAATTGGTTGTTAGTGAGTATCTGGTTAACGTAGATGGCAGATTCTTCACTGACAGGTCCATAGGGGAAAAAGATACCAGCATCAGTTTGTAGTAGGGTGTTCTACAGGATTCAGTACTAGGTCCCACTCTATGGAATGTCCTGTACGACGGGTGTAAACGCTACAGATGCCAAATACACGTACCTTTCTAGCTTATGCTGGTGATCTCGCACTGGATGCGAAGGTGAGTCAGAAAACGGTCATGGCTAATGCGGCGAACACAGCCCTGCGTCGTATTAGTAGGTGGATCAGAGAGAACGATGTACAGCTAGCACCTCAAAAAACTGAGGTGGTAATTCTCAAAGTGAACCGAGACAAATTCTCTCTTCGCTTTATATTGGAAGGTGTGGAGGTTGCATATAGGACGGTTTCAAATGAGGTCCAGTATGCCTTTGGAACAGTGATACCGATTGTCTTTTTGTGCAAAGAGTGAGCGTGGGTGTATGTGAGGAGGATGGATGGAAATATAAATGTCAGAGAGAATGGGTGAATAATAACAGAAAGGCAAGGTCAACGAAGGAGCTTATTCCTGATCTGAGGCAGTGATGGGAATGTAAACTCAGGAAACTAAACTACTTCCTGACGTAGCTTATGATCGGACATGGTAGTTTTGGCACCTTCACAAACAGAATAGGTAAATTTGCCTCGGCAGACTGTAGTGTTTGTGGCGTACCGGATGCTTTCGCCCACACTTTTAACTTCGAGACTTCGAGAGGTGAATGGCTTTCAGGCTGGATAAAAGAAACATGGTAAACATAATGATAGAAGAAAAGAAAGAATGGAGAAGTTTAATGTCTTATCTCTGGGGTGATAAAGAAGAAGGGGTATGAGGACAGCAGAGGAAATTGAACCAGAGATCTGAACTCTTGTTTATTTTTCTTGAGAGCCAAGAACCAGTAAAAACCAAAATTAGTTTATAGGTCCCACGGAAATATTTTTGTTCCTTTGATTTCTTTTGAAAATAGGCAATTTTTAAACATTTTTTTTTCTGATTTACGGTGATAGGTATGGGTATTTGTAAGTCATTCCTTAATATAATATAGTTATTCTTTTATAAGGATTTTAGTTGTTTATTCAGTGGCAAGACCACTACTTTGGACGGTTACTTTAAACATTAAATAACCCTCTCTATAATAAAATAATAAAAAAACAAAGTTGCGTCCTCTGAAAACTGCAACCCTAAATGCAACGTTTCAATAGATTATCTGATTAATCTAAACTTGCCAAAGGTGAATGGCAACAAGTCAACTATGACGTTTAACAGCATTTGTTTCGCATTTAATATGTCTTAATAATTATTATACAATTTTAACTATCTGTTTTTGTTTCAGGTTGTTCTAGTATTCATTTTAAGCATAGCTTCGTTAATTATATATTTCGTAGACGCCTCAAGGTAAGTCATAAAATAGTTTTTATTTTAAAAAAGAAAATCATTCAGTTGAAAATACAAGACTCTGAAATAAACAATGCATTCATTAGAATTTTCTATATAATAAAAAAATATATTAAAGTTACCCTAAAGAGTGCATCAGAAACTCAAATTAAAAAAAATATACGATTTTGTATTGGTCACATTTTTATCATTTATTTATTTTTTTTTAGTATGCGTCCAGGGTAAATATATTTTTGCTAACCAAATTACATCATCAGATAAGTATACAAAAGTTGTTACACTTTTTGCATTAATACACAATTGGTCTTAAAATTCTTATAACACAACTAACAACAGTTATGTCCGTATCGTGTAAGTGTTTAAAGATATTGTTTTATGATACTTTTTGGTTGAAGGTTCTTGGTATATTAATGTTTTTTGAAAAACGGGAAAACAACACAGATACGCACAAATGATTTGGTAATTGTTATCTTAACTTTTAGTTATAGTTTAAATGTAAAGACCAAAGTATAAATAATGAAAAAAGAAAATCTGGATATGCGATGCCGATAATATTGACTAAAAATTAATAATTCAAAGTTAAATAACAGTTCAAAGATACGGTATTCCAAAGTAAATGATAATTTTGACACAAAATAATTAAAACAATATTGATATTATAACCTCGGAAACCGTTTTTTGGATGGTGCTAGAAAGGTCACCAATGGAGACACTGCGGCCGGCAGCCAGATGGTTGGTGGAGAGCGAGTCGTGGGTTCGAAACTACCTTTTGGAACCAAGAATGGGTCCAACGTATGAAATAAGTAAAGATAGGATTAAGAGATATTAGAAAAGATACAGAAATAAACAAAAAGACAGATGGGTAAAATTACCAAAGATGAGATAAGATAGAAACAGGGCGCCATTCAATTTTGTGAGGTTAAGGAGAAAATTAAGAAACCTTAGAAAAGAAAAGAGATAGGGAAAGATATTTAGGTTCAGAGATCAAACCCAAGAAAAGATACCAACAGTTAATTATCAAATAAATTTGGTCAACACATTATATAAACAAATAATAAATATATTAGGTATTACTTTTACTTACCTACGAAACTTAATCACCTTATCTTTCTACTGGCCAAAGATATAATAATAATTAAAGGTAAAAAGTAAATATTCAGAGTTACTACTTCATCAGGGAACTTTAGGAACCTACAAATAAAATATAGACATAAAACAATAACAATATATTCAACAACAAAATTATGACGCTTCTGAATGCAACACAAGTAATAAAAGTACCCCAACAACTATAAAATGGTGGTATACATATAAAAATAAGCGGTAATATAATTAGAAAATACCTTTACAAATATATATCATACAATCATGTACAAATAAAGTTTTGTGGGCGTACCTCGAGATATTACAGTAGAAAAATGAACAAAAATTATAACAAACACAAAAGATAATCAAAGCTAAATTTGCAAAAACACAAAAGGGTTACAGACATAAAACTTTAACCAAACCGTACTTGGTTAAGCCGATTAGCTATCTCTCACTATTATTTAATGAGAAACTGAGACTAAAATGTTCATAATTCTTACTTATTGAAATTTCTTGAATCTATTGAAGTGTTCTTTAAATTGAATGCAAAAATCAGCAATCTACAGGTGAAAACATGGAGGAACTTTAGATACGTCCAGATAATGGCAGATGATATGCTACTATACCATATTATTTGCCCAGATAATTGGAGATACTAAGATTATGGTAACTTACAGTAATTCCTGTTGACTGCTGCCTAATTCACTGAAGTTAATACTATACTTGTATTAAACACTGAATTTAATTAACATTAAAGGTACTTTATTACTGCATATAATCTAATATACTATAAGATCAAAAAGACTCAAATAAACAAGTGTACACACACTTAGAAAACAATTCACAGACGGTAAGATAACAGATATACAGTAAGATCTAGTCCTTACGCAAAGACTGTCCCACCAGAAGTAAGTCTTTCTTTGCAAAAATTTATCAAACTCACAAAAAAAGAAAAAGGGATATTTCCCACTTAAAAATCATAGGCCAGTAGTATGTAGTTCTGAGAAGGTAAAAATATTCTAATGGACATCGAAAAGTTTTCTGTAATTACAGTAGGTACTAGTAATTGGACGTTACCAAATATACAATCCTTTGGATTATGTTCTTGTCAAGATATTACTATACGTGCCTTCGACGAAAATTACCAATTTATGAAAAAGAACCCGCATACCGAAAAGCATTAGTTCCTTTCATACTTGGGATTAAGAAGTAAAGGATTAACAACCTTTCTTAATTAGGGAAATTCCGTGCATTCAATAAGATTTTGAAAATGGTAAACCGAACATGAGCGTATCATCACAGGGGTAAAAGAAATAAAAATAATTAATATTTTAATTATATAAAAAAATGTTACAATATTTATTAGCAAAACCGAGATATAAATTCGTGTTAACAACAAAATAATAGATCAACTAATGGAGTGCACTAAGAGGAATATTAGGACATCAACTTATCTATCCACGGTAATATTGAGTAAAAAATACAAAAGCATATAAAAAAGAAATACGCACACTCGAAATTTCAACAACACTGTATGGAGAAATAACAAACCGAAATAAAATTTAGTACCTACATATATTATAGTCAAAGCTCGATATGCAGTTTTTTATTGGTATGACTAGGTTTAACCAAAGCCTTTGGACAAACCCCGAAATAAATACAATTCTCGACCTTTAACTGAAATGTTTTTAGTAAATTCTAGAAGTTTTCAAGTTAAATAAAACGAAGAACAACAAATGTAAAAATCGATACCAGTAAATTAAGGAACCCACTCATAAAGCAACGCCTGGCAGATGAAATCAACAACGGATGAATGTATGTTAAAGAACACGTTGTGAATTGTTATTAATAAAGACATAAATAGATAAAAGTCAAAAAGAAATTCTAATACCAACCAGATATAAAACGAAGCAATGGATGACGGAAGAAATTTTAGATTTAATGGAAGAAAGACGTTAATATAAAAACAAAAATAATCAGATGTATAAAAAAGTGGATAAACAAATAAAATACAGAATTAAGAAAGCGAAACAACAATGGTTAAAAGAACAATGCGCAAAAATAGAAGAATGTTAGAAAAGACGTGATAGTTTTAACACACATAAAAAATTAAAGAATTAACTCACAACAATAGAACAAGAAAACCGGAAATACTGAAAGATGCAAATGTGAAACTTGTGTTGAATACTAACGACAAATTAAAGATATAGACAGAATACATCAATAAACTGTTCAAAGACAGTAGAACAGTAGAGAAGAGACAAATTAAAATGGCATTAAAAAAACAGCAAAAATGGTAAAGCAATAGGTCCCGACCAAATCCCTATAGAAATCTTAAAATGCATAAATGATGAAACCTTAGACATTATAGTAGACTTATTTAACTAAGTGTACAAAACAAAACACATACCGAAACAATGGTTACTCTCCACCTTTTGTGCTATCCCTAAAAATACAAACGCTAAATATTGCAGTGAATACAGAACAATATCACTAATAAGTCACATTCTCAAATTATTCCTGAAATAATGCATTGTTGTATAAATAAAAAAAACTGAAAGAAGGAATAGATGATAATCAGTTTGGGTTCAGAAACGTTACCAGAGAAGCGTTATTAGTTGATGTGCATGTTTGTTACGTTTATTTTGATAAAGCATTTGACAAAGTAAGACATAAAAAATTAGTCCAAATTCTAAAGACAAAAAACATAGACCACAGGAGCATACGAATAATAACAAACCTCTACTGAAATCAAAGAGCACAAATCGTAATAGATAACGAATCCATTACAAAAATTGAAATCAGGAGAGGAGCTAGGCAGGGATGTATTATGTCCCCATTACTATTTAATGTATAGAGTTAAGCCATTTTTGAGGAAGCATTACTATCTCAAAGTGAAGGAATAATAATTAACGGAATATCTATTAACAACATAAAATATGCAGATGACACCGTGATTATGGCAAGCTCTGCTGAACAACTCCAATTACTGCTAAACAAAACAAACAGTTTCTGTAAAAAATATGGGCTAAAAATGAATTTAAAAAAAGCCAAATACATGATAATAACAAATAAAACAAATATACCAATAAACATAAATTTGGGAAATGTACCGATAGAAAGGGTTGATAAATACAAATAGCTAGGCACCTGGATTTCAGACAATAATGATAAAGCAACCAAAAATGGAGCCAGGATAGAAATAGCAAGAAATACGTTTATGAAAATGAAAACAATTCCCTGCAACAAAGACCTTAAATTAGAACTGAAGAGCACTAAGATGCTACGTGTTTTCGATAGTGCAATATGGGCTTGAAAGCTGGACATTGAAGCTAGAATACATAAATAAGTTAAAGTCCTTTGAACTGTGGTGTTACAGGAGGATGCTTAGAATAGCAACAAACCAGGAAGTATTGCGAGAAATATACAAAGAATGGGAAATAATAAACACAATAAAAATAAGAAAGTTACAATATCGGAGACACGTAATAAGGGGATAGCGATATGAACTGCTAAGGCTGATAATACAGGGAAATATAAGAGAAGGAAGGAGTATAGGAAGAAGGAGAGTGTCATGTTTGAAAAATTTAAGGGACTGGTTTAAATGCAGTTCTATAGAACTCTTCAGAGCAGCAGTAGATAGAGTAAAGATAGTGATGATGATATCCAACCTCCGATTGGCAGACGGCACTTAAAGAAAAAGAAGAAGAAGTTTCATCATCATCAATGGTACTACAGTCCTATAAAAGAGCCTCGACCTTCCCAAGTCTATTACGCCAGGCAGTCCTATCCATTGCCAACCGTTGCCAGTTTGCTGCGCCTATCTTTCTACCATCCTCATCTACACCATCCTTCCATCTGAGTTTTGGCCTACCCCTGTTTCTACTTCCTACGGGTTGTGACATAAGGATTCT